GCGGGACAGCAACATTTAGGAAGTGTGGGCTACGGGCCAACAAGCAGTTTAATGACACGCCTGCGTCATGGTCTAATGTCAGTAGCTCCCGCCATTGTCAGGGTTGAGCACGGGCATAAACACACACACACACGCACGCACGAACACACAAGGTTATTTGTTTTTCCAGAGGGGCTGTAACAGAGCAGCTGCAGGTGAAAGGAGCCACCTCCACACTTCACCATAATAAAGCTGAGCACTCCACGTCCCGTCCTGCACTGGCCAGCAAACCCTGAAGTTTCAAATGAAGTGCTGGTCTTATTAATTATGCATACAATTCGGTGCCGCACATTTCTTCCTTCTTTCTTTCTCTCTCACTCAATTTTTTTTCTCTCCATCTCTCTCTCTTTTATTCTCTTCTTTTCCAGATGGAGCATCTGTAATAAAATTAATGACATCATTCGCTGTACTTCAGAGTAACTACTGGAAAAAAAGTCATACATCAAAGTAAACAGTGTACTGTGGAGAAGGGGGGTCCTTGACTGTTAGATATGAAGCAAAGAAAGAAAATTACATATATACAGATATAGAGGGCCCCTATGTACTATTACTCTGCACAGTCTAAAATTAATAGCACCCGTCATTTATTGTGGAATAAAACCGACTTAAGACAGAGCAGACAGCCAAAGGCTGGTTATTTTGGAGGTGGGTGACAGCCTGCTGAAGGACCCTGTAAACGCCACCACAAACATAAAGGCATTAAGTGTCACAATGCCAGGCTCACAGACACATCTCCCCTTCTGTATTCACGACTTTTCTTTTTCTTTCTCTTCCTTGAATCTCGAGTGTCCAGCACGGCACGCTTTTCCCCCGAAGTTTCAGCCTCCGCTGCTGACAGGCCGCTGTTGAGAAGGGTGCAGATGACTGCAGAAAGACACACGTGTGCAGCTTGGCAGGACACTGCTCGTGAGAGGCTGCTCTTGCGAGCCGCCTGAGAAGCTGTCTTTGCAATCCCGGCTGAATTAAACACCTCAACCTCACACTAATGAAAAGAAACTCTTATTTCCTCCTGACGTTTTATGTTCAAACGTATCTGAATCACATCTGTCAGTTGTCAGACTCAGCGGCCCGTTTACTACCCAACGAGCAAAAAAAAAAACTAAAAAAGAACGCACCAAACAGTATATGATGATGAAAATCACAGGATTGTGACACTTCGAAAGTGTCAAGAAGACCTTCGAGTAAATTGCTAAAAATATACGCCTTGCCACACGGCACTGTGCTACGGGCAGCTTCGGCGACAGAGACGTCGGGGTTATGAATGTTGTGTGAAGCAGGGGCATAGAGGGCCCTCTGTCCCCCCTCTCACCGGAGAGCCTTACAGAATGACTGGGCTATGCTGCCCCACTGACAAAGATAAATTACATTTGCTGGAAAATATTTCAGCATTTTTCCCCTCCCCTAACCTCTCGACTCGTCTCTCATTTTTTCTTGAATTTTTTCGTCGCTTTTTTGGCCCGAGTCCACCAGTGTGCCATGGGTCCCTCTGCCGTGAAGCAAGGCGCACACACCGTGCCACTGTGCTTTATCATGGAACAATGCGTTTACGCATGGAGTCGGCAGACACCGATCGAGATGGTTAAAGAAAAGTTTGATAGGATTGCAAGTAAAACTGACCGGATATTTTTTAGCAATTTTACTCGAAGGTCTGCTTGACACTTTCAAAGTGTCACGATCCTGAACCCATTTTAAACTACAGATTTTTTTTTTTAAATCTCCAACTCTAACAAAAGTAGAACAGCCAATACGACACGTCGTACATTATCTGTATATAAAATGCTGGACTGCATCAATTATGCACGACTAGATAAAATGAGCTCTTGAATGCAGGGATGTACCCTTTCCTAAACTGTTTCTACTGTTCTGTGAACTCTTATCTAGCATAAAATGTGCTCTGGTTCCCTAAGAATCCAACCAAAGCGGAAGAGTTTCGATGCTTAAGGCCAGAAGGTTCCCTGCTAGACCACCCAAATCTGAAGAGGAGTTTATAAGAAACAGGAGTCACCTATTTTTTTTTTTTTTTTTTTTTTGAGGGGGGGAGTGAGCACCACTTTCATGTCCGCAGCGTGATATGTTGCGCATATTCATTCGGTGTACGCACACACACTGACTTGTCTGTCATCGCAGACTCCTCGTGGCCGCCTCTACCATCCTTCATAGCTTTCTAGTGTATTAAATACACAGTAAAATATCGCTTTTTCTCATATCATGCAAATGCACATCCACATACACAACTCTCAGAACTATTTCCAGCCACATACACACAGACTTCTTTAGCATACATAATAATTACTGTGTGTTCGGTACATACCACGTAAGCCCACAGCAGATCTTTAGAACACAGAACGTTCGGCTGAAAAATTTATTTCTATGCAGAAGTATTCTTTTCACAATATAATTAAACATCAAAGGCAGGACTATTCCTCTGTGATTGAGCAGCACTCTGGTGAATCAACTCCATACACCACCTTCCACTTTACAGCGGGAAAGAAAGTTGCCAAGCGTCACTGCTAATTACAAAATAGAGACAGAAGCAAAGTTAAATTCATTATGCAAAAACCAGAACTCGTACGCGTTGAGTACGTTCAGCTAATGCCAAATATCATAACCTCTTTGCGGGTAAAAATGACTTATCTGGAGCTGGTTTATTTGCTTTATTAAACTATTTTTTTGGCCTAGTAAATGAAGCTGAGAAGGAGAGTACGGAAAAAACGAAATGAGAAAATGTTTGACTTCATTGACTCAAAATTAACACACTGCTGTGTAATAAAACGCGCTGATATTACTTTTTTATTATTATTGCTGAAGAGTTACAGTGAAAATAAAGACTCTGTGTTTCTTTTTGAGCTCGTGCAACTAAGGAGAAAGTGGTAAATGTTTGGTTTAACGACATATTATGGCTCCTTGTTTTTTGGGGGGTTGGAACACATTTAGATTAATGACTATTCATTTCTACATGATTTATTTATTTATTTAATTTTCATAATGCCTACCTTTGCTTGAAGATCAATAATCATTCATCCCAATGCACGCAAAAGTGTAATTTAGCTTATTTTTATTTAACTGCAAAAAATAAATAAAACGTCCTAGTGTTTGTCAGGACAAATCTAAAGACAATACTTTTGTGCTTTGGAGGGGTACACAAACTGTGCCTGTAAATGCCTCTGACAATCGGCTCAAGTAGCACAGCCAATCAGAGTGACACGTGGAGAGCTGATCCCTCTTTGAGAGAAGTGTAAGGCCATGTTGTCACTGTTGGTTTTGTGAATCGACAGAAGCCTAATCCCCAGTGATTTCCTAGAGACGACAGGTCTGAGGACGACCGCTCGTGTGTGTGTGTGTGTGTGTGTGTGCGCGCGCGCGTATATGTGCACGGCTATGAGAGGACTCTCTGAGTGTAATCATATGAGTCCACATGTGAGTGTGTTCATTTTCCTCTTGGGCAGATTAAGCAAACATTAAATCCCAGGAGAGCAACAGGTGAGACACTCACACACACGTACATGCACACACATACAGGAGCTTCATTGATTGTGTTCGCCTGTCTGACGGTATAGTCTGAAAAAGAGTGCACTTGAGGTAGAAGTGACAGAAATACAATACGTGACGCCTTTTTGCGTGGAGAAATTGTATCTATAGTCAAAATTTAGCTTTTAAGTGTGTAAAAATAACGTGACATAACATATTATTTCACGGTAAATTCCTATAAGCACAAGAATGCTACAAAAAAATGAATACAAAAAAGTGACAAAAATAACTCCTGTTAATTAAACAATCACATTCATTCATTTACATCTGTATCTGTCTTCACCTTTACTTGTTAAAGTATATAGATTCACATTTTAGCAGATATCAGGGTTTTTTTTGTTACTTCAAAATGTAATTAGATTATAACAGCTTCTTACAATAACTGCTCACACACAAACACAAATATTACATGTGTATAATATATATATATATATATATATATATACAGACAATATTTATGGTTGCATGAAATGAATCTTGACCCTCAACTTAACTGTGCTGTCTAGATTTAATTGAGAATAATAGTAATTATATATATATATATATATATATATATATATATATATATATATTACTATTATTCTCAATTAAATCTAGACATATATATATATATATATATATATATATATATATATACATCACACACATCCACAAATTTGTATCTCTATAAACTTGTTTTAAGCAAATACACTCCTAAGTTTAACATTAGGCTACTGAGGAGAAGAACAAATAATTAACACTCATAAAACTGAACATGGAATATGGACTTTTGGATATATAATAAACGGATGGTCTCTCAGCCTGAGTCAGTGTTGTATTTAATGACTTACAAATGTTGCTATTCTTGATCAGAATCAGGATGCTTTTTTTAAAAAAAAAAAAAAAGTGTGGATTTGCTTGCACATGAACCATAGCCTACCTGCATATAGCCTGATAATAGAAAGCAGAAATTAATATTGTCACACGAATGAATGTTGATCATATTTGAACGCCAGTTTTAATTCAATACTTCATTTATAGTCTGATGACCCTCGGTCCTTCACACAACATCGCACAGCACGTTGACTGTATTCCCGACGGCAGTAACAGTAGACACTACATCCATGCATGACCTCTGTAAAGTGGTTTAGTTTATTCTGCGAGCCGATAAAGCACTTTACAAGACCCAAACAAAAGCACGCGCTTGTAAACAAAAAAAAATAATAATACGTCTTCATACAGAAACACTAATAGTGATTGTACTGTCAGTAGTCAAAAATAACATGTGTTGTCATGTCAACTTTCTTAACGGAGCTACTTTAACTCTCTCCCTTGTGATCTCGCGAAATAACGGAGATGTTAACTTATTATAGTATTGTTTACTTAACAACAATGTCACACAATATATCAACGGACAAACACACACCAGTGTAGGGTATCAGTGTCACACTTACTTCATGGCCGGTGAAGTTTGTCCTGCGTTTGAGGGAAGGTGTTGAGCCGCCGGGTAGACTGGTGCTTCACACTTAAAATCCAGCAAAAATCACCAGCAGCACTTGGGAAACGTGTCGTTTTCTAAATGCGTGTTTCTTTTCTTGTGTCTAATAAAGCTTTTCAGATGCTGAGGTTGGTGTCGGTCGTCCACGGTGAGGAATGATTAAGCCGTTATTGCGACTGATGATGTTGAGCTCCGCGCGCGCCCGTCTCTCTCTCTCTCTCTCTCTCTCTCTCTCCCTCTCTCTCTCTCTCGCTCTCTATACGCAGGGCAAATAATCGGGTTTACTCTTGAAGGGGGACGGGCTTACATCACTCCAGTGTTTTAATGAAAGAAGCGCAACACTAATGCGTTTTTTATCTCCTACCTGATCAAGTTAAATCACACCGTGTATTAAACTGTGCACAGACAATTGTAGGCTACCTTTAGCTTTGTGACTTTTAATTTCATTTGTACCCAGAGATTTTATTTCAACAATGTGATTTTATCAGATAATGAGCAGATTTTTAATTAATTTTATTGAACCGAATATTTGACTATATAGCCTATATTATGTAGGCCTAAAGTTAAGGGTTAGACTATAGTTTTCAAAAAAAGTAGGAATGTCCCCTTAAAACAACAAAATCCAAGATATTTGTGTGTGTGTGTGTGTGTGTGTGTGTACATGTTTTTTTTTTTTTTTTTTTTTTTTTTTTTTTTAAATGCACACAGACTCATGTGGGGACTTGTATCACTGTGGGGACCTAAATTGAGGTCCCAATGGTTACACAAGTTTATAAATCATACAGAATTATTTATTTATTTATTTTTATTTTTTTAATTTTTTTTATGAAAATGTAAAAATGCAGGAAGTTTTCTGTGGGTAAGTTTAGGGGCAGGGTTAGTGTAAGTGGTTGGAATACAGTTTGCAATTTAAGTTTGTAAGTTCTTTCGAAAACCATCTAAAGCATTTAAACTCAGATCGGAATAATCTATAAAATAATACAAAGGACTCAAGACAACTCAAGAAACCTATAGAGTGAACATTTCTCATATAAGCACACATTAGTGCCCTCTCACAGCCCAGCAAAGCAACCCATCTTCTCACCATATCATTGGAGATAAGTACTTTACCATGAATAAATCACAGACAAATCTGTCCCGCCATGAATGGATTTAAACACATCTACCAATGAATTCACATTTAAGGGGTTGACAAAAGAATAGAAACCGTCATATTGCTGATTTTTTTTCAGTTCCCCATCTTAGAGCGGTCATCTGAATTGCTTCACACTGATATTTCATTGTTTCATAAAACGAATGCTTAGAATTAACCATAAGCACCATTTGAGTCACTGACAGACAAACCAGAGGCAGAGGTAGAACATGAAATAAGTAAATGAATTAATAAAACCTGCTAATATCCCTGACAGACTGTAACTGGACCCACGGGCATCAGCTTCCCTGGGATCCCACTTCTGGGTCACAAGACACTGTAATATTGAATTCCATTTTTATTGGTAATTCCAATATCTAGATCAATACGCCTTCGGTTCCACCAGCTATATGATAGCACATGCTAAGTTTAATCAGATTCTCTGTTTCACCGTATGTATATTTACATGGACAGTTTCTCACACTATATCCATGAAAATATCTTTGGCCTCAAGATCAGGCCTCAAAATATTTTTTTGTTAATGGTATGTCCATTTGAAAAGCATGCTTGTTACGTTATACCCACTGTGTTCACAATTCCTTCAGTTCTTCCAGCTCCAGTGCACAGTTTCTGCAGGAAGACCCTCTTAGGTTTCAGTGTGCGCTCGTGTTTGTTTAGTTGGCACCTGGCGAAGAGACACAAAGGGAGAGAGAAATTCTTTCTGTGTTAATAGCTATATCTAGGCACAGTGTTCAAGATACACTACATGGCTGGGTGAACTACAAAAGGAATAAATAAATATATAAACACCGTTATTGAGTTGCCTCTTGCATATTCATGTGGTTGGTAAACTAGATAAAGAACAGGAAGAGGAACAGAAACAACAGTAACTACAGCAACTATACCGTATATCATTGATGTAGATCTGAATAAGAATTTGCAGTTTAAAACATAAATACTCATTTGCCTTGGATACCACTTGATATGCAGAGGATAGCAATTATTACACATTTGCAAGTAAATATTTACATTTTGTTCCTGTCACATCCTGCCATTCTCAAAGATGACTCTTTTTTTCTTTCCCTCTCTCTGACCAGTTTGGGCTATTACCGTATTCACACAAGTTCTACAAAGAGGAGTTTTATACAGAAAGTTGTATTTACTTTTGTAAATGTAAAAGGATGATTTACTTTTCTTTTAAAAAGGTCTCCCCAAATGCATATATATATATATATATATATATATATATATATATATATATATATATATATATATGTGAAGAGTTCAGATGCAAAAGCCTCTAAATGCCATTTGAAATTTTCTTCTAAAATGACCATTTTTATCAAACTTGTATATTTAAGTTCAGTAATTTCACTTAAATGACAATTAATAGGTAATCTTCATTGCCATTTAAGTGAAATTACTTAATTACAAGCTTGATAAAAATGATCATTTTAGAAGAAAATTATTTTATATATGTAACATACAATGTTAAGACGAAATAAAATCTATAAAATAAATGTAAAATAGATTTAAATAATTAGACTTTTTTATATTTGGTTTTATTTAGATAACTATTTGGTTTTATTTAGATAATTATTTAGGTAACTTTCACTACATTAGTTCAGTCTACTAAGCATTGTGCAGTAGAGCTGACTAATGAGTTTTAACAAATTTTTAAATTTGCCTGTTAAGACATTCCCCGAAGGCACTTTACTGTAATATCTCTAGGGGGATTTATGTCAATTGAAACATAAAAAAAAAAAAAAAAAAAAAAAATGTTAAGTTAGGTTTCATGACCCAATTTACAAACAGACAGACACATACTGTATACATGCACACACATGAATTATTCTCCCTCTTGTTTTCCTTGGCTGTCGATCACTACCAGACTGTCGGTCCAAACTGAACCTGCTTGCCATCACTCAGGATCAACAATCCGATTTCCAGTAAGTTCAAAGCCACAAGGAAAGTGTCCAGTAGCAGTTAAGTCATTTCGTATACACATACAAGAGGCTTTTCAGAGAAAGGTAATTTTGAGGTTTTCGACCTCATCTGTTCATGTTTGTAATGAGCAGATGTAAGGAGATGGAAGATAAATACACAATGTTAGTGGCTGACAACAATCCCGCCTACATTGTTTTCTTTTCGGGAGCCCAGTAGTTACCCACGTGTGTCTTATTATCTTCAGTCAGACATAAGTAGCGTGTTCGGGGAGGATATGGGACAAGGCCTCTATTTCGTTTTATTTTAAGAGCACGATAAACATCAACACATTTTCTTTGGCAAACAGGAACAAGCAAGGCTGTTAATGTATGAGTGTGTACGTGAGTATACGTGTGTAATCTGTTGCTGATCACACTCATGTGAAAACACAATCTGTCTGTCACAGTCAAGCGCTCAAACACCAGCGCTGAGCTTTCACAGTGCAGGAGGACGTTGGCGAAAAGCCTGTCTCCCAGGTCTGGCCAGATCATAGATTCTTCTTTTCCCCTCCTTGCTTATCTCACTCCTCCCATCTCCTCTCTCTCTCTCTGCCACCTTTAATCTCACCCATTTCCCTTTTATTGCCCTCTTTTCTCTCCTAAACATTGAAGCTTTAGACAGATAGACACATACAGACTGGCAAAAGGAAAAACACACTTACTAACTGGAGTATTTATGCAGGACAAAGTTATGTAAGGGTCTCAAAAAGAGTTTAGAAATGGCTTACGATGGATCCGAAATTGTCACTTTTGTTTCTGCCTCAGTTCAGAATACATGTCTAAATAGTTCTGTCAATCGACTGAAAACATAGCCAATTAAGTGCAAAATTTTCTGTAATCAATCACGATTAATCACACCTAACATTAAAGTTTTTAATGTTTATTTTGTAATTATTTCACATTTAAATTTATACATTCATGTTAAGGATTCAGCATTACAGTATAATCGAAAACTATACATTGTAACATTTTTTTAGGCTTTAATTTAAGTGAATTAAAAAAATCTTTACATAACCCCATTTTAATAATGGTGCTTTTCCATTACCAGAACCAGCTCGACTCGGCTCGTTTTTCGCTCCATTTTCCATTGCAGACAGTTTTCCTGGTGCCCTATCAAGCTCTCGCTGGACCCTTTCTTCGGAAACCAAACAAAGGAAAGTCTGGACCTCCTCGTTTGACCGCGGCATATTCTTCCGAGTTGACATAATAATATTAGTAAGTTTAGTAACTATCTCTGGCCAAACTATTTAAAAATGGCTGGGTTATTCTGGATACTCCATCTGGCACATGCAATGATTCGATTCACGATTCGATGACACGATTCTCTCTGACCAATCGGCATTGTTTTCATGTCACATTTTAGTATTGGATCAGCTCGCCTTAGCTTGCTCAGAACCTCGATGGTGGTGATACAAAAAAAAAAAAAGTACCTGGAAGCAGGTATACGTACAACTTTTACACAGTGAAAAACCAAACAAAGGCAAGCCGAGCCGAGCCGAGTCGGTACTGTGTAGTTAAAAAGTGCCATAAATCTCATTTACCTGTATCCAATATATCAGGGCATATATATATATAACAGTCAGATCTGTTCAGATTTTTACTTGCTTTACGATTTTCAGGTATAGATCTAACCAACGCATTCTCACCCCAAGCCGTCACCTTTGACCATGCTTCAATATTTGATGCTTTAGGCGCCTTTAGCGTCAGTTATATCTAACTGTATCTAACTATATCTGACGCTGTTAGGTTTAGGTCTGGGGTGGGGGTAGGGTTACACGCGATCCTAGGGCATCATCTAACTGACGCTAAAGGGCGCCTAAAGCTTCAGATATTGAAGCATGGTCAAAATGTTAGTTAGGTGACCTAATCAGTTAGGTGACGCCTTGGGGGTGAGAATGATCTAACAGGGTAAACAGAAATTGAATAAAGTTTTCAAAAACTTAGTCTTCCATGCATAAATAAAACAAATGAAATAAGATACTTATTAAGCTACAAACGTTATTCAGTCCAGACAAGAGAGAGATTTTCTATTTTTTCTTTTGTTCTTTGATTGATATTGACACTGCAGTAAGTTAATTAGGCTGCTGTCACTTTAAGACCATAAAGCACATGCCACACAGATCCCAGTTTCTCACAACTCTTTACTTTCAATTAAGACTTAATTAAACTAATTTAAGACTGTGCTTGCGAGGAAACTCAACAAAACAGGCATATTGGCATCATTTTGTGTTTTTGTCCGTTCAAGCGTTGTCTGAAGCTGCTTTTCTGTGCGCATGAGTCGTTTGTGTCTTTAGTGCCACGCTAAGGTGATATTATTTTTATACTATATTACTTTATATCTTAGGCTATATTATATAACTTTTCAGAAATTGTTATCTATTAGATAGATAGATATATAGATATATAGATATAGATAGATAGATTTACTCATACAGATTCATTTATTAAATTAATTTCGTAACCACCCAGCTAACTAATTAAATCAGTGCCATCCCTTTGTCGTGTTTTTTTTTTTTGTTTTTTTTTTTGACAATTTGTGGGCAGGCAAACAAGTTCAGCAATTAGTTTGCAAGGGAAGCTGAGATCTCATGTTACATCTCATGTTACTGCAAGCCATTTTGCATGTCGCTGTAACTCTCACTCAATTCATGTCAAAGTAATAGTGCAACTTTAACTTTTCCAAGCATACAACTTAGAAACTTCTGAAAGCGCATAGCTGATGAATTCATCACGGTTTGAGGCCTCTCTTCATTGCATTTAAATAACACCTGAGCACGCTAACACAAATTGTGGTTGGAAGAAAACCAGTAGTGAAGTGTTGACTCGTGTGGGGACAAATTTGGTAATTTGCATGTTCTGTTGGGCAAACAGCGCGTGATCGCTACACCTTTGATTCATTATAAATGAACCACAAGCAGCACAACACGGTTAAGCCTTTGTGCAGGATGCTGCTGCTCTGGTTTCAGTATTAAAGCTGTGTGCTGGAAAAAGTCACCCCAGTTCCAGTTACCCTGCACTCTACTCAAGTCTTTATCTCCCCTGTCAATACACCTGTACTCTGTCCCACTTGCTAATGGAGGCCTGAATAGGAGTTAGTGTCAAATGACAGTAAAAGTTCGAATCTATATTTACTTTAGGTCCAAACATATAAAAGCACAGCTTAAAGGGCAATTTCTTGGAACAGCTCTCTGCCTTGTGAGTAAAATATGTAACTGCAATACACAACTCTGCCAGCAGAGGCAGACTAAGGCTTTCTCACAGAAGAGTCAACCCTCTAATTCAATAGTTTAACTGTAGTCAAATCGATACAGCAGCAAGCATATGTTGACTGTAACATTATGTAAACAAACAAATAAATAAATATGAATCTCTCAATAAAAGCACTGGCACTTTCTCTCTGTCCCATTACTGCACCTCAAATTGTCAGTCTCTTTATTTCAGAAAGTCTGCTGCTTCCTAAATTACGCAGTAATCTTATTTCACATCTTTGTACATTTTACCATTTAGCTCAAAGCGCCCTTTGTCTGTCTAATGTTAAAAGCTGGAAAAATAAAAATATTTAAAATAAAATCATACTCTAATGATTTTT